GAAGAAGAAGAAGAAGAAGAAGAAGAAGAAGAAGAAGAAGAAGAAGAGAGAAGGAGGAGGAGGAGTGTGGAGCCTTGGTGCTCTCTGAGCTTGGTGTTTTTCTTGCAGACGTTTCATGACCCAGTTAGGGAACATCATCAGCGCTAGAAGGGAATGGGGATTATGGAGAGGAGGAGGAGGACGACTGTGGAGTCCATGGGGATTGTGGAGAGGAGGAGGAGGAGGAATGTGAGGTCCTCGTTGCTTGTTTTCTTGCAGACGTCTCATAACCCAGCTAGGTAACGTCATCAATGCTAACCAGTCCTTAACAAACCATCTGGCACCAAAAATGTCAGCCTCCATTGCAGTTGGAAGCCAAGGACTACCTCCAGATAAGAGGAGTGGTGAGGTTGCTTGGACAACACACCCTGGTGGTCTACAAGAGGGCCACGGCCTACTTGGGAGTAAGGCATTCCTCCCAGGGGGCTGATTTTTCTGCAAGGAGCTTCTGCCAGAGGCGTTTGGAAGGAGACCAACAACTTGCCCGGTTTTCCGCTTTGGCCCGAAGAAAAGTTGAACGCCGCCTTCTCGCATGGCCCTTGTCCAGAAGAGCTTGGAAGCTGCTCAATTTAATCTAGACCTGACGCTGCCTTTTGACAGCCAGCGAGAATCATTGTGCACATTTTGCATCCTGATCTGGGTCATAATTACACCCTGGCTGAATAATCACTAGCGTGAGAACTTCCTGGAGAAGTGACCTTGGACGAAGGAAGCTTCCTTCAAAACTCTCGGGACAGGGAGTTCTAGTCTCTCACCTTAGTCATGAAAGGCAGCTGGGTGACTCTGGGCCAATCACCAGGAGATGGTGAGTTCTAGTCTCACCTTAGTCATGAAAGCCAGATGGGTGACTCCAGGAGTCACCAGGAGATGGTGAGTTCTAGTCCTGCCTTAGCCATAAAAGCCGGCTGGGCGACTTTGGGCCAATCACCAGGGGACGGAGAGTTCTAGTTCTTCCTTAGGCCCAAAAGACAGCTGGATGTGACTCTCTCTCTCTCTCTCTCAGCCCAACCCACCTCACAGGGTTGTTGTTTTTCGGGGGGAAATAGGAGGAGGAAAGCATGCTGGATAGGTTCGCCGTCTTGAATCATTTGTAAAACAAAGACAAATAAACGAAATAAAAGGTAAACCTTGAGCATCTTAAATTGTTACCTTAACGACTTCCTCCCAGCCTTAAGGATTTGCCCAACAGTTATCGTGTTTTTTTACCAAAATGGAAATCTCCCTGTTTTGAGTGCCAGGAATGGGAGGCCAGAACAATTAAGCCATTATGGCACCTTTTTCCCAGCATACTTGAGTGACACTAAAGTGCAGAAGCGTGTTCTGGGCCAACCCCACCCGCCCATCATTAATTCAGAATATCCACTTCGCTCTCTGCCAGTTTCGCCCCACACTTCCTTCCCACAGACGAAGGAAAGGCGTTCACCCTCCTTTTCCTAGAATCCAGACCTCTGAATTTATGTATTCATTATTCATGTAGCATATGGCATATACAGAGGCCATGCAATTATTTATTGATTGATGATCTATTATTCATTGGTTATCTATTGTTTATTTATTACCTATTACCTGATTAGTTATATATTATCTAATTATCAATTTCTATTTCTTTATGATCTAATTATCTATTTGTTATTTCTCTAGTATTAACATTTGTTATTTCTCTAGTATTATCTAATTATCAATTTGCATTATTTACTTATATAATTATTGTCTATTTATTTATCTAGTATTAACTTTTTATCTATCAATTTGTGTTATTTACTTATACAATTATTTTCAATTTTTTATTTACTTATTATCTACTTATTGATTTCTATATATTATTTACTTATCTCATCAATTTCTATTTATTATTTACTTATCTCATCAATTTCTATTTATTATGTAATTATCTAATTATCAATTGCCTATTTATTTATCTAGTATATCATTATCAATGTCTATTTATTTACTTGTCCAATTATCAATTTCCATTTATTTACTTATCTAATTATTGATTTCTATTATTTATCTAATTGATTATTTATTTATTTGTCTAGTATATATCAATTTCTATTTATTATTTAATTTTCTAAATATCAATTGTCCATCTAGTAGCTAATTATCCCTTTTCTATTATTTACTTAGATAATAATTATCTATTGCTTTTATTATTTACTGTTTATTTATCTAGCATCTAATGATCAATTTATTGATTATCTTTGTTCCTTTATGCCTGTGACTAGTATTCTAGCAATCCTGGGCCATTGCAGGTTCTAGATCCCATCATCCCCAGCTGATGGTCCCAGAAAATTAAGGTTGGCAGAGACCATTTTAACCCCGGGGTTTGTATATATTCTCAGAAACATTCCTGCGCCATCGCTGAGCATCCTCTCTCATTATACAGTAAGTGCTGCTGAAGCTCTTTGATTGTTCTGGCAGCCGTCCTACCAACCCTACAAATCAGGCCAAATATTCTTTTAGCGATTCTTAATGTTGATGATTGGACTCCTTGTCTTCGCCTTCCAAAAATCAGATTCGGAGGAGAAATTTTATTTTCTAAGCCGTGTCGATTCCCTTCGCTCGACTCAAGATTTAACTTGCATTTGGAGTTGTGCAAATTTACCTCAGAAAAATAAAGAGTTTAAACTGAGCAGGGCGATTAAAAATCTATCTATATCATCTATCTATCTATCATCTGTCTATCTATCTATCTATATCATCTATCTATCTATCTATCTATCTATCTATCTATCTATCTATC